ATTGTTGGATTGCATCACGGCTGCGGCCTTCCCACGAAAGAAACGCCATGCATCTTGGGACACCAACCTGCACGAAAGACTGCAAGAATGATTTTGCTTCTTGTGCTGTCTGAGTGCAACTCAATTCACTTCGCAAAGCGCTTTGCCAAGCACTGACACTTCAAAGCCAAAATGCATTTTTGTCGGGCTGCATGTCACAGCTAGCTAAAGGTTCAAAACTTCCTGGGCATCAAAAAGTGAAAACTGCTTAGCTCACAGGATCACTAGGCCAAGCTTGGAGACGCCGAGACTTTGTCAAAGAATCTGGCGTCGTAATGCTCGACTGCTTGCGTTTCGGCGCTGCCTTGCCGCGCTTCGGCACGGTCTCCCTGGCTTTGGCAACAACCGGTGGCTCCAAGATCTGCATGCCTTCCACCAAGTAGACTTTCTCCGACTTGTCACCCGACTGACCCGTGATGTAAACCAGCGCTGAGTGTTTGTCCAGCTGATAGTCAGTCTGCCGGGTTTCATCAGCAAAGGTCTGCAATGTATAGACTGCATCGCCATCATCGCCAAGCAGATCTTTGCAATAGTTTGTAATGGCCTCTCCGCTTCCAAGGTCTGTCAGCTTTGACCTTGCTGCGCCCGTCACAAAGCAGACAATGAGGCCACCAAAGCGACACACAGCGTCAGATCCATCTACATATTGAGCTCCCAACCCCTGATGCCCCATCATCACGATCTGGGACAGCTTGCAAGGGATGAGAGGTTTTGCCCCTGGCGGCAGCGGAGCGCAAGCTTCCACCGCATTCATGGCCCGAGCGCCCATGTATCCTCCAAAGTCGTGAGCAACAGCCCTGCCAACGGTTAACTGGATCTGGCCAGCGACAAAGTTTCACATTGGCTACCAAAAAGCGCAAGTCCCGCTGCTGCCACGCTTCTTCAAACAGCTGGGCGCTCAAATTGTCGTCGGAATTGATGGCAAGCGCTGCTTCTTCAGACACCCACACTGTCACACTTCCTGTGATGTCTCGAAGCTGGCTTGAAAACCAAATTCTGCTGCCATCCTTTGTGCGAATGCTGTCGGCACCAACAGGAACATCAAGTGTTGCAAAGTTCACTTGGTACAAGTGATCTGTTGCAGGACCTTCCACGCGGCGAAGCCAATTGCATGTCACCAGGTATGTCTCCGCTTCCCAATCACGGCCTGCATTGCTATGCGCGGCAATCTTCTGCGTCTCAACGTTTTGCATTTCCATTGCTGCCATGGCTTTGACCTCAGCGGCGCCCTCGGGCGCCAAAAAGAGTTTGGAAGTATAGCTTGATGTCAAAGCAAGCGGAGGCGTTTTACTCGCATTGTACTTGCTACGAACTCCAATGACAATGATCACTTTGTCCTGGAATTGCTCTGCTTGGTCGATGAGTTTCTCGTCCTGGTCAGCACCTTGAAACAATGAAATCTCGACAGCTGCAACTTTGTCGCCATCCACTGAAGATCTATCAATCAAAGTCAAGGTAGCTGCTTCTCGGTTGGCGCCCCCTGAGCGTCTGCAGGAAACACTTTGCACGCGGCCAAGCAGATCGAAACATACGCTGTCCGCTGGGATCGCAGCGCTCCTTACAAAAACAAGCAGCTGCAGCATGCAACGACTTATGCAACATGTAATGTGAGCGACCAAACATAAACAGCTTCAAACTCACACACGTGTTTGACTGAGACTTCTACGCAGCCACGTTGTACTTGGGCAGCATGTACGTTGCCAGCGTCTTTGCATGCTCTTCATCAAGCGGAGTAGCCTTTGTTGGCGGCGCCAAATGCATGCAGCACTTGATTGGTCCCGAAATATACTGCGAGGTCATCTTGCTATCAAGGCAACAAGTCGTCAACGTCCATACACTCTGATCCTTGAATGTTTGCAACGCAGCTTGAGCTTTGGCTTGGCCACGAACGATGGCAGGCATGTAGTCTGAAGGGCTAGACCCCACAAGATAGCAACGGAAGTCTTGCAGCGGTTTGGGAGCTTGTGCAGAATAGGTATACTTTTCAATCTCAGGCTGCAGCACTCGAACCTGGTAGCTGCAAATCTTCACGGTCGCGGCATTAATGTTGGAGAGCAAGCCGCAAGTAGCGCTGGACATGATGGTCACGAATCGAGCCGTCGCAACCTTCTTGATTTTGAGCCCGTGTTCTCTGCACATCAACTACTTGTGAAAGTTCTCGCCGACACAGCAATTTGTGAACACGGCACATTAAGCAAAAGGAGATTTATGTAAATTCCGGCACATTAACCAAAAAGACATTCATCCGTATTCCTGCACGGAGGACTGCAAAGGTGGTTTTGCTTATTGCGCAATTGACTGCAAGTTGGGCTTCGCCAGAAATTTTTTGCTGGATTGCATCACGGCTGCGGCCTTCCCACGAAAGAAACGCCGTGCATCTTGGGACATCAACCTGCGCAAGGCACTGCAAGAATGGTTTTGCTTCTGGCGCCGCCCGACTGCAAGTAAATTCACTTCGCCAAAGCTTTGCCAATGAGCTGCCGGAAAAAACAATTTTGGTATGGAAACTGGTGTCGAATGGCATCGCGACTGCAGCGTTCCTACGAAAGAATTTCATGCATCTTGGGACATCGACCTGCACAAAGGACTGCTAGCGTGGTTTTGCTCATTGCGCCGTCTGACTGCAAGTCAATTCATTTTGCCAATTCCTTTGCCAATGAGCTGAAAAAAGGGCTTTGCCTAAAAGTTTATTGCTGGATTGCATCACGGCTGCCGCCTTCCCACGAAAGAAACGCCATGCATCTTGGGACATCAACCTGCACAAAGGACTGCAAGCATGGTTTTGCTTATTGCGCCGTCTGACTGCAAGTCAGTTCTTTTTGCCAGGTGCTGTGCCAATGAGCTGAGAAAAAAGTTTTGCTTGGACACTATTGTTGGGTTGCATCACGGCTGCGGCATTCACACGACAAACGTGTGAACCTGGAGTCATCAACCTGCACTAAGGACTGCAAGCATGGTTTTGCTTATTATTGTGTCTGAGTCCACGCAAATTCATTTTGCCAAGTGGTTTGCCGATGAGTTAGTTGACAGACCACAAAACGATTTTGGAAGAAAAATTGTTGTTGAATGGCCTCTTCACAAAACACGGCAACAATCTCGGGCCTCATGAAACATTCCATCCGCGCCGAGCCTCGGTGAGTGAGAGCAACGAAAGAAAATTGCAGATTGAGCAAACTGAATTCAAGTAGGTCTCCGCTGGAAAAACACAAAGGACGGCCATTTTGTTCTCAACCGCACTCAACCACCTTGGTGCACTTCCCGTGCCTTCAGCCATACACTTTCTGAAATTTGCCATTTGGCCCGAGCAAACGCCCGTGTGGGAAAGCCATTCTTTTGCGCATAGCTCCTGAGCTGTTGAAGCATTGCTCAGCCGTTTTTGTAACAACCAGAAAATGAAGAGAGCAGAAATACAAAATATTCTTGAGTACTATTTTCGGCCACAACACTGCAGCCGCTGCAGTTTTTTGGCAACAACAGCTGCTGAAGATCCATTGCCGGCAGCTTTCTTGCCGCCGACGGAGCCAATCGATGCTCTCATGGACTGCAATGCTGCCTTTGGTATAGAGTGATTGCCTTTCCTCAGAGTAAGCTGCGTGCCCGCACGTCACAAACGAGGTTCTTCAAAGAAGACAAGGCATACAAAACACAAAAAATGCATCCAACATCAACACCTTCTTTTGCGTGGCTGCGCCAAAGCTTTTTTCCATGTGGTGTTTCCCCGGCATGTATCCGAATCTGTTTCCGTCTGTTTGATCAAGGGAGGGTGAATGTAGTAACATCTGCAGAGTCCCGATCTTGCCTCTTTGCCCTGCAAGGATACAATAGAACTGTCCGGGCTGAAGCCTGAATACTTGGCAACGCAGAAATTGAAATGCAACTCTGGAAAAAACGTCTGTGCAACGCATCTCAACTTGCACACAACCCAGCCTGCTTCGCTCAAGGAGACGAGAGCTTTCAATCCCTCTGGTTGGCAAAGCACTGCGTGAGCAAGATATGAACGCTCAGCAATTCTCAGCTCATATCCATGGCTGAGTTTTTTGACGAGACGTCTACAAGTTTCTGGTGCAAGGCCAGCAGTTTGTGCTCCTAGTTGACAAGTATACTATCCGGTAGTCATTGCCCGCATGGCTTCCTTCAAGACACAGCAAGTCACTGAAACAGAGGATGCAAGGACACAATCATCTTCGAGTATCAAAGACAGCTTATCGCCCGAAGCCAACGCACGTTTCCGTACTTCAAGATGACTCAGGGTTGCAGCGAGAAAGTTCCACAGGTTCTGCACTCCCAAAGAGCTCCCGAAACGAACTTTGAAGCTGGTTCGATCTTTCCCCTTCCTAGGTATTCCGAAAATCCGGCCACAATCATGCTGCTTCCGACTCCAATCATGCTGCTCAGAACTGACATGAGACACTCCGATGCCAGCATTTAAAGCAAACAATGCACCAGCAAGTCTTGAGTCAAGCATCTTGGTTGTCCAAGAAGCGCGGTGTTCGCGCTTATTCAGGCGAACCAGTCGCCCACCGCCAGGCATCAACCAAGCGAATGTAGGTTCGATATCACTCATGTTGCTCCCCGGCGAAGGGAAGGTCACAATGAACGGCAGAAACAAAATTACAAAAACGCAGCCACGTCTTTTTGTATGCCTGTGTCAACAAAACTACTTTGCATGAATCATGTTCAGCATTCAGGTGTTGTTTCGAAGGTAACTGCTATATATTTCAAATTTGTGCGGATACCATGGGTCTTTTGAAAACACTACAATGTCACCACGGCCCTGGCATGATCTTTCGTCAACGGGAAGCCTTGATCCCAAAAATGTTGCAAAAGCCAATTCGAATCAACATCTCGGCGTGTCATGGTTGAAAAAAAACGTGTCGGACATTATCCACAACAACTACCAGAGGTTCATGCAGACCAAACCACTTGGCTTAGCAAAGCTGTTCTGTATTTGTGTGAGCTGAAAGGAAGGCCTTCTCACATTCTGCCAAAGGCTGACGGGTCCCCGACCCGAAGAAGGCAGAAAATGAATCACAGTGCTGCATGGCCTCAGACGGCTAGGCCATGAAAACAAACTGGGACAGCAGTTCAGTCATCCTGTCCTCTCAATCTGCAAGCAGCCTGGCCTTGTTTCAACTGTTCATGTTGTACTGGCATGATTAATACATTCGTTTTCAACAAAGGGTACGGCATCCCGGAAATCAACCGCCAATCCCGACTCACCGGCGAATGAATGCAGTCCAGGCCTGGGCAGCTGGTGAAAAAAGTGTTGGAAAAGAGATCGAGGTACTGCCAAATGCTTCAAAAATTTGTCCAACAATGAGGTGCTGAGGGATGACTACGAGTTAGCGATTCTAACTGAACATTTGGTTGGAAATGGAGTTTGTGTGTGTGTGTAGAAATTGACACCGACATTTTCAATGCTAGTACTGATTTCCATCAAAGTTCTGTGGCCGTCAACGCCAGTCTTAAGCTGCAGGCCTGCTGTGTGGTTTTCTTTTCTACTGGAGGTTTTTTTTTGAGCCGACAGTGATATGTCGCACAGCGAGTTCCTACTCACTCTTCTTTGATCTCCACAAATTTGATTGCGGTCTTTCTGGTTTGCTGCCCAAGCAAAGCAGCCCCTGCAATGTCTACTTTTATCCAAGAGTCCAAGCAGTGTTACCTACCAGGAAACATGTGCCGGGCCAGACTCTGCCACCTCTGCCTCCCGTTTTCGGCACCCTGACAATTAAATTTCTCGAGTTGCGGACAGCAGCCATTACACGACAAGAAACTGTCGCAATGAAAGTAAACAGTATCTTTCAGATGGAATGATGTCATGCGCATGAAATGATGTAATGCACATGAGATGATGTCATGCGCATGAAATGATGTCATTCACATGAAGTGACGTCATTCATATGAAATGATAGCTCGCATGTCTTTACTGCAGTCAGCAAAAGCCTGCACATTTCAAAACTACACCAGCATAGACCCCAGATAGCAAAAAACATGCAATTTGTTTTTCTGGACTGTACCTGCATTGGCAGCAGCTCCAAAGCACACACAGGAGCCTTTTTTACACTGCAAAAGGACACCAATGTTTTGGTTTGGAGAAAAATGTGCAAGGATGTTGTATTTCGACTCATAACATGGTTTGTGAATCTGGCGCTTCAAGAATAGAGCTGATTGATTCAAACCATATTGACCCAACTCTATCCGGAGTCTATCCTGCAATCTTTTTACGAGCACCAAGACCGACTCTTCAAGGTGACGCGACACTTCCTGCACCCAGCACCAGCGCCAGCACCGGCACCCTGCACCAGCACCCTCTGTCAAAAGCGCGCACATCCGCTATCTGGAAAATAACAGCACCCAGCACCGGCACCAGCACCCTGTCTCCACCACGCACACAGCCAACTGACAGCACCCAGCACCGGCACCCTGTCTCCACCACGCGCACAGCCAACTGGCAGCACCCAGCACCGGCACCAGCACCCTGTCTCCACCACAGCCAACTGGCAGCACCCAGCACCGGCACCAGCACCCTGTCTCCACCACGCGCACAGCCAGCACCCAGCACCAGCACCAACTGGCAGCATGCAGGACCCGCACCCTGTCACTGGCACCGTCTCCACCACGCGCACAGCCAACTGGCAGCCAGCACCGGCACCCTGTCTCCACGCGCACAGCCAACTGGCAGCATGCAGGAGCCAACTGGCAGCACCCAGCACCAGCACCAGCACCGGCACCCTGCCTCCACCACGCGCACAGCCAACCCAGCACCGGCACCAGCATCGGCACCCTGTGTCCAACACGCGCACAGCCAGCTCATTCTTATTTGAAGTAAGAACCCCATAGCTGTCGCTATCTGGGGAACAAGTCTACGAGTCGCGCAGCCTGACATTTTCGATTAGCACAAAAGCTCAAGCAAAATCACCCCAGCGACAACACCAGCTGCCAACCGATGACCAGCAACAAGGCTTACCAGAGTCACAGCAACCAACCTACTCACAAAAGCACATGAAACTAGACAAAATACTATCACGCGCATAATATGATGTCATGCACATGAAATGATGTCGTGCGCATGACATGACGTCATGCGCATGAAGTAATACTTCTCATGGGAATACTGTAGTTTTACTAACAGCAGCCGAAATAATACTCTGCCCGTGAAATGATGTCCAGAACATGAAATCATGAAGCGCACATGAAATGATGTCGTGCGCATGACATGATGTCATGCGCATGAAACGATCTCATGCGCATGAAATACTAGCATCCAATGTGACCGCATGCAGTGCGGCGACTTGCGGCGCGGTCAGGTGCAGTCACTTGCGCCAGCGGACAGTGGTGGTCACTTGCTGTCACCTGCTCCAGCACGCGGTGGCGGTCACTTCGGTCACGTGCTCCAGCAGTCTCTTAAGGGGTCACTTACTGTGGTCACTGGCGGTACGGTCACTTGCACTCGCTGCCGTCACTTGCGGTCACTTGCTCCAACGAGCAGTGGCGGTTACTTGCTGCAGTCACTTCCGGCCACTCGCACTTGCGGTGGGGTCACGTGCGGTCACTTGCTCCAGCGGGCAGTGGCGGTTGCTTGTTGGAGTCACTTGCGGCCTACGTGCGGTGGGGTCACGTCCGGTCATTTGCTCCATGCGGCGCACTTGCGGTGGGGTCACGTGCGGTCACTTGCTCCAGCGGGCAGTCGCGGTTACTTGCTGGATTTACTTGCAGCGCATTTGCGGTGGGGTCACGTGCGGTCACTTGCTCCAG